CACGCCGATGTGACCATCAAATTTTTTTGCGATGCGATCTAGTCGCATCGCGCGACTGCTTACATCGCCGGTGGGAATGCGCCTTTAGAGACATCTGTGAAAAATTATTTTGGAGCAAAGTAATTGTACTTAAATTACATTTTGGAAGTTATTTGCCCATGTATGCCCTCTTATGTGTGAAAGATTATATCTCAATTTATTCAGAAACCGACTCGATCGTGCGGTCCTTCCCCATAGGGCTATTGCCATCGGATTTACGCTGTAAATTACAGTTTGTTACGAAACATATAGCTAAGTTCCTTTTAGATAGATCCCGTGACTTGGAACTGCGCCCCGATTGCTGAAAGACGCGTCAGTCCCCAACGCGGAAAAGACGTTGGCGCATGTCGGTTCTGTTTTCATTCGGCGTTCCGTTATCGAGGCAGAGTTACAGGCTGCTGTGCCAACACGTAGCGCTAATGTTGACGTGAATCTGTGCGCATCTCAACGTGATCTTGACAAGTAACTGCAACCTAATTTATTTGCAAGTACGAACAATTACGGGTACTGGAAGTTAATTGTAAACTGAGTACTGCAGACTATGGAGTTTTAGCTATAAGCATTGTTGCGTACTGTATACCTAAAAACATAGGCGTAGACTACGAGGGGGCATCGGGGCTCGTGCCCCCCCCCCCCCCCCCCCCTGGTGAGATCCGGGGAGGAAGGGGGGGGGCAGAGACCCCCCCCCCCCCCCCCACCCGGGCTATGATCTTTACCTAGACGCTGTTTATGTGCCATGTAACGAGCTTCTAGTAGTGGCATGTAATCGAAATAACGCCCACGTTGCCTTTATTGACAAAATACATGGGAAATGGAGTGCCAGCGTGCTTTCGTTAGCTTTAGTCTCCAGTTCTGGCAAGAAGATGACGCGCAGCACCCCCCCCCCCCCCCCCCCCCCCCCGGAATGGAAAATCTACGCCACTGCCTAAAAAGTACTTGAAGTACAAAGTAAAGGAGAGGTTATGTAATTCAAGTCAAGTAGTAAGTAGACCGGAAGCAATGTGCTTAAAGTAAGGCATTAAATTTGGGAGATTTCTTTTCCGTTATCCCCCTTGTTCCCCTTCTCCAGGGATTATTATCGTCATTCTTGTCCAGCTCGCTTCCACCTTTGCATTAAATGCATTACAATCGTTCCCCCATATAGATTTTTTGTTTTAACTGGTACGCATGGTTTTAGGAGTAATCGGCGGTGAATCAAATATTTTCGAAAAAGGCAGAGAATATAAGATAAAGTCAGTGTTAGGAAGTAGTTTAGGTACATTGTACTTAAAACACTACTTCAAGAAGGTTTATAAAACGGGTACTATACTTGAAGTACATTGTACTTAAAATACCACTTCAAGAAGGTTTATAAAACTTGTACTATACTTGAATTACATTTTGTGAATATGTACTTCCACTTTACACTGAAGTCATTTTTTTTAAAAAAAAAGGTCGTTCTTGATCTTATATTGTTAAAAATGTGTTAGCTCCCGCATATACCAAGCCCTATATTACAAAACCTCCTATTTATCTCAGGGTAATAGAAAAACATGTGGACTCTTTTTCTCGTGGACTACAATGTGTGCACCAATAGGCGCAGATTCCGAATGATTTTATTATAACTCGTTTCGAAAAGAGTCTGATAGGTACACATTTGGATAAGACTCCTCTTTTTCTCCGCGGGCGAAGCCATTGCTTGCAACTCGCCGACAAGCGCCCTTCGTCGAACACTTTACTCGAAAATAAATTCTTCCCAAAAAGGGCGTGTCGCGATCTTTCAACACGCTTTTATCGATGAAATAAGCTACGTACGATTGTGATTTCGGATTTGCTGGCATGCTTAGAGCGTCTAGCTTGAGTTGTCACCACAAAAGGAAGATGTCAGAATCGACTTTAGTGCCGCTTTAAAGCCCGACCCACAAAACGTTTTCCCGAAGGGTACAAAAATCCTCCACGCCCCTTTCCCATTTCCCCCTCTCCCACTGCTATTTTAACGACCGGGTTGCTGCACTTGGGGCCGGTTAAGCCGAGAGCTCCTCCCGGCTCATCCAGCCCCAAGATGCAGCAACAAAAGGAGCCCCCCGTCGTCAAAATAAGAGTGGGAGAGGGGAAAATGGGGAGGGTGTCCAGAAGAATTTTCCTAGCTTGTGGAAAATGAGTTTAAAGCCTATAAAACTTTTTTTTTCCTGGTATTTTCCAATGAAAATTAAACACCGGACTTCAAAGTACATTCCGCAAATTTGGGCTCGTTAAATATGTATAACAAATTTATGCTTTGTTAACTTTAGAGAAATACTAGGCGGGATATTCTAGTCTCTCCAGAAACGCGAGCAGACGACGCATCGCACTCTTTGTACTGGGTGGGGCTTCGCCTCAGCATTTCAAATGCTCGCTTCTCGCTCAGTCGGCGCAAGCGAGAACGGCAAAAATATTAGAAGAGGACACTCCTCCATGAAAGGATTGCTTGCGGAAACTGCGTGGCTGACGTCACACTCTCTTCATCATGAAATATACTGTAAAAAAATGCTTGTACTTTACTTTGAAAGCACATTGCATGTATAGTACTTTGCTTAGTAAATTGCCCCCAGTGTAATTATTACTTTACTTGAAGTGCATAAACTCTAATTTACTTTGTACTAGAAGTACTTTTTAGGTGTACTTTCCCCAACACTGAATAAATTAAAGTAGCCACAGAGTAGTTAAGTAGCATCATCGGTTAGTTAAAGTAGCCACAGAGTAATTAAAGTAGCATCATTTTGTGATATAAATTTAACAAAACCAAATTTAGGGAATGTACTTTCAAGTCGGGAGTTGTACTTTCCTCGCTGATGTACCAGAAGAAATACTTTAAGTACAATATACTTAAAATACTTCCCAACACTGGCTACACGTACAGTATATTGAAGACTTCAGAAATAATTACTTCCCAGCTCCGCTTCAGAAAACGATGGTTTTCCGCTCCTTCTCCGTCAACGCGGCTTCAACCCCGCGTTTTCAGGACTTAGGATTTTGATTTGATATCTGGGGTAGCGGGTTAGCAGGTGCACTCCACGACTCTACGGGTTTTAGTATCTCTTAATTTAACAGCCTCACTCGCCAATAAAGATCAATATTAACGTAAACCACCGAATCAGAAAAGTCTAACTTAAATATAAAGATCACGTCACAGTTCGATAGGGCCTACCTTTCTCTCATCCACTAGGCGCGCGCTTGGAATGGATGGCAGTCGCCTAGCCAGGATTTGTTTTCGGCGGGAGGGGAGGGGAGGCTGGATGTATGTATGTTAATGGTTATACCCTTTGTAGGCGGGCGGTGGCTTGCGCCATCTAGCCTAAGTCTAAAAAGACTGATGGCCGAGATGTCCATGACTTGGGGTCATATATGAGTAAATTACTTTCAAAATGTAATTTAATTACAATTACCTTGCTTAAAAAGTAGTTTAACTACAATTATAGTTACTACTACGTCAAAAATAATTAATTACAATTAGAAATTACTTTTCAAAAGTAATGAAACAACTTTACAATTACTTGTTTCTGAGATCGACCCGACTTGGGCCATATAACTTTAAACGAGTTGTATAGAATGCAACTTATTTGTTTATTCCTTGCTCGGCAAATAAAAATGCGACAACTAGTCATATATGAATATTTTACAAGTACTAATCCACACGCACTAATACGACTGCATTCACATACAAACATCATGGTATTGTAAATTATTTACATTGAGTTGAAATTATAATGGCTCAGAAATCTATAAGAACCGAATCCAGACTTCCAAATCATTGGTGACAATATTCAAAGGTGCCAGATCAGTCTCCAAAATAATAATAATATTTTTATTACTCGAACTTTATTACTTGTGCAAATAATATCCGAAGTAAAACCATCAGGAAATAAACTTAAAACTTATACAGATACAAATATGCGATAGTACTGGAAGAAAAACTAGCAGAAAAAAGAAAACAAACAAACGTAGACAATTAAAATTTCTAAGCTCTGCTGGAAGCTGGAGCTCAATTCTTTTTCTAAATATTTTGGCATGTTCCGGTATTGTTTTTTGTTCGCTCCGCAGACGGCGCCGTTGAGGTAGGCTCCAAAGAGGATTGTCTCTCAGCTCGCAGTGTAAGCAACAAAATACTATTTTTGTTGTGCGTGTATGTGCATGCTTGTCTATGCGTGCGAGTGTTTCACCGAGCGCTAGGCCGCTTGTGCGAGCGCTGAGGCGTTCAGAGAGGTTCTATCGGCTCAACAAACTATTGTAAAAGTAATTGTGCCTAAATTTCGCAATTATTGACACTATAAAGTAATTAAATTACAATTCCTTTCAGCCGAAAGTAATTGATTACAATTACAAATTACCAAGAAAAGTAATTAAATTGCAGTAATTTAATTACTGTAAATGAATTACTACCCACGTATGCTTGGGGTGCGAAAAGGGGGAGGGGACGTCAAAATGCGTGTGTATATTATAGGGTCGGCTGGATTTTGGGATTGGGGCTGAAGCCCCATAACGCCACTGTCGTATGGGCTTTATTAGCGCGTTAAATCACTACAAGTAAGCTTTGACTCAAGTATCTTCCAAGAACACGTGCTCGTATTCTTGGAGCACATTTTTTTTTTTTAGAATTTAGAAGGAAAATAATGATCGGGGGCGCACGTTTCATATTCTCCAACACTCATCGCACCGCTATTGTCTCACCTATGAAAACTACCAGGTGTATGGGAGAGAAGAAAACCGTGTCGTTCTCACTGTATAACTAATACTACGCATCGACGAGCTATTGTTAAATTCTAAAGTTACAAAAGAATTTCGAAAAATTTCAATTAGCAAATGGCTTTACGGACAAACGACGCTGATGACTCGTCATCGTGGATTTAAGAATCGGACTTTTCCGATTTTCTTCACCGCCTGCAGGCTTGCTTACCGGGTCTCGTACGTGTAAGCTACCAGTAGAAAGCTGCCGCGCCAGCAAACTCCCCAAAGAGAAAGGCCAGCAAGCACGTGGCCGGCCTTTGGAGCCGTCGCGTGGCTCCTGAGGAGAGGCCGAAGCAGAACCGGCAGAGTCTCCGCAGCTGCCCGCAACCGCCGAGCCTACCCGCTCCGGCTGCTCTGTCCCCGGGGCAACACTTGGCAGCACCGCCCGGGTGGCCCGGGCGATCCGACCGACGAGCTCGTCTCCGCACCCTCTCGGTCTCCGCTCCCCGCCCGTCCCGCTCCCCAGGCGGCCAATTCGGCGAAAGCCCCAGTCGTCGGCGGCATGAATGGCGCGCAGGCGGGCCGTCGCGCTGTTCGGCGCCCTGCTCGCGTTGGCGTTAATTGTGCTGGCCTCGGCCTGTCTGCTGTGGTTCCCGCGGTCCGCGCCGGGGCCCCCGCCTGCGGCCTGGGCCGCCCAGCAGCGGCGGCAGCGAAGACTGCGCGACGCGTGCCGCGAGGCGGACGATGACGCCGCGTCGCTGGACGAGCTCTCGCGGGCCAAAATGGACCACATCGTGGTGGACGACGCGCATGGGCTCCTCTACTGTTCCGTGCCCAAGGTGGCCTCGACCAACTGGAAGCGCGTGCTGCTCGCGCTCCAGGCGGGCCCCGGTGACCCCAGCCGGATCCCGGCCAACCGCAGTCACGACCCGGCCGCCTTCACCAGCCTCGGCCAGCTGAATCCCGAGGAGGCCCGGCGGCGGCTCCGCTCCCACCTCAAGTTCATGTTCGCCAGGCACCCGCTGGAGCGGCTGCTGTCGGCCTACCGCAACAAGTTCGAGCACGCCTGGAGCGACTACTTCCCGCGTCGTTTCGGCCGCACCATCGTGCGACGGTTCCGCGGCGCTGGCGCGTCGCCCGACGCCTTGAACACGGGCCGCGGCGTCACCTTCGACGAGTTCCTGCGCTACGTCGCCGGCCTGGACGCCGGAGACCACGCGAGTGCCTTCAACGAGCACTGGCGGCCCGTCAGCGACCTGTGCTTCCCGTGCCTGGTCCGCTACGACGTGGTCGGACTCTACCACAGCTTGGACCAGGACTCGGCGCTGGTGCTCTGGCGCGCCGGTCTGCAGCGCCGGGTGGCGTTCCCCAGTCGCGCGCGTACCTACTCGTCCGAGCCGACAGGCAGTCTCATGAACACGTACTACGGGAACGTGTCGGCGGCCCTGCTGCGTCAGCTGCGGACCGTTTACAAGCGGGACATGGCCCTGTTCCGCTACGCCCGGAGTTACCCGCCGTTTGACTGAGATCACCGCGCGGACTGCGAGGACGCAGCCGAACGACTCGTGCGTCGAGCACCCCGGACACACGTCGCTCCTAGCGAGGCCGCTGCTCGTTCTGCCTGCGCGGAGAAAAACTGCGAGCAACGAGACTACATTCCGCCGTCACCGCGACCAATCCCACGGTGATTGTGACTAAACTCCGCCGATCGAGGAAGTTGGGAGCGGTCCAACAGCGTGTACAGCTGTTCGCTCGCGTGGACTACCGTGACCCCTGACGCCGCTCCAGAGGTGCAACCGGCGCTCGCCGCGCAGCGAGAGCTGACCTCCAGACCTCAAGGCGCTTAAAAGGCCTTGTAAACAAATAAACAGGCCAGCAGAGTGGTTGGTCGGAGTTTTATGGTTTCGTGGCACCTAGCTTGTTTGGAATTATTTGGAGCAGCTCCAGCTAGCTGTGCTAGCCAAAACAGTTCCCTTATCGCCTGCCAAGTTCTCTTGCCCATTCTTCTCCTACCGCTCTCGAAGCTGCGCGTTACCTACGCAGTTATAGTGAGATTAAATATGGTTAAAAGTGCGCAAAAAAAAAAAAAAAAAAAAATGGGGACAGAGAAGAGAAGCGCACATAGTGAGATGCACGATGGGGTGCTCCCGTTGGACACCAGGTCGAAAGCGTACTCGCAGCAATCGCCTATCAGAGACGCCTTACCTGCTGGTGGTGGCTAACGATGTAGTTGCTGGAGCTGAGCTTGAGCACGATGTACGCCCTGATCAGCTCCCAGGTGCTCTTGCTCTTGTACGCCGTCCTGGCATCGCTGAAGCTCAGATCGAGGGGATCCCACTGCGGCGGCACCTCGGCTTTGGACAGCGGCACGGCGGCAACGCTGCTGCTCTTCCAGCGGTGCTGGCAGTCGAAGCCCACGGTCCCGATGCGGCACAGCCGCTGCATGCGGCCGCCGGGAACCTCGAGGAGCGCTCTGAGGGCTGCCATCTTCGGGCAAGACCTCCGGGACAAACACACCTCCGACGGCACACACGGGGCCGCCGCCGCCGCCAAGCGACTTTGCAAGAGCCACAAACCGGCCAACTGATGACGTCACTTGAAGCCATGCATGGTCATTGGTCTCCGTCTCGCTACACTGAAATTTAATAGTTAGCACCGGTAACCTAGTTAACCAGGCTCATTATTTCGCCAACAGGTCGAGCTGTTTTACAAATTTTCACCCTTTCTCTGCTTTTGCATTGAAGAATGCTTGAAGCCCTTGAAGAGATTGATGGCGTGAAGAAAACCAAACCTTTTATCTCTCACGGTAAACCGGGCCACGTTAAAAACAAAACGAACTATTATTATTATCCTACAAAATAATATGAATACTATGCAAATCTTTATTAAAATGTTATCAAGGATCTCAACGTGTGGCTTCCCTGCGTTTTTCGATTTTCCGGCAAACCTGTTTCGGAATCCATATTCTATTCAAGGATGAATCCAAACTCCAATCCAAACGCTCCGCACGTTGCGCTTTTCGCCTTTACGCTTCTCTGGTCCTTGCGCAGGGTAATACCGGTGAATACGTGGTACTATCCCTTCAAGTGTAATCATGGTGTTCCTCACTGCTATAAACTTTGTTCGAGTTAAAAGCGGGGGCAACCGATTCTGGAAGCGAAAGCGAATTTTTCAACTTGCAGCCGTAAGTGCGTCTGCATGCGCTCCCTCTTGTTTCCCTTGAAAACGTTAATTCCCATGCGCCGCGTCAAATCAAGCTCGAGCGTAGCTGAAACTACTAGAGCGAGCTTGGCACTTTGCGCGTTCCTGTCAACCAGGCACGCTTGTGTAGTGCAAGCATCGTTCAGTCGTTTAGGGCAACATGCTTGTGGCTGCGGCTTCGCCCGCTCATGAAGGGTTGTCGAGCTTGCAAGCGCACCCAAAGTACTGCGAAAGGCAACGAGCCCGTGTGGGGGGCATTCGAAGGAGGCGCCCTTCTACTCCCATCTTGTCATTAGGCCGTCTTAGCATAGTGTTGCCGTGCGAAACGGCGCTGCTACCAGATGCTCGCGCTGCGACTTCGTAGCGCCGAGATATTTCGGTGGCGCCCTCTAATGGTTTCCATCCGTGGCGTCACGACTGGCATTCGCCTCGCCGTGACGTCACCAGTTGTTACCCTGGCTACTTACCACCAGGTGCGACGACGAGCTCGACGGTGTGTTTAACAAGCACAGTAGAAGCTAGGAACCATTGCAACTGGAACAAACACCGTCAAAGTTGACAATCTGACAATGCTTATATGCCCATGGTCTGGCCAATCGTGGAAAGCTGACCGCAGCGACGCTTTTGGTCGCGCACATCGCTAATGGTAGCCAGCAGAAACGCTCTGCTAAAAGTGCCCTAGTACTATACTTCATTTCACCTTATGTTGTACCTCGGCGAAGGCTAGAAGCGTGAGCTCATAGCATTGGCTGCCGTTCTGAAGTCACGAGAGCATGTGCCGCCGAGATGTGCCCCAGAACAAGGAGCTCGCGCTTGTAGCCTTTCCTGCGGTACATCATAAGGTGAAACAGAGTATACAGGGGATCTTCACTGGCGGCCATAGTTGAGTTAATAGCTGCTCAGCGCGTGCTGACGGCGAGCTTCCAGTTTTTCCAACCTACATTCCACTCCATCAAGATTGACGGTCCTGTTACCCTATAAGTGTGAGCTCGTTCCGGGCATGACACAGGTCCTGACCCTAGATGTCCACACTGCGGCGTCCCTGCGACTTGCTACCATCTTTTATGGTCCTGTGAAGGGACGTCACTAGGATGGATATAGGGCAATTAACACCTTACCACCGCACCTTAGACCAATGACCCTTCGGGAATGGACGCATCCAAAAACCTCAGCACCCGCAGAACGAAATCTCATCTTCACATCAATCATCTCCTACCTCCGGTCCTCTGGGATTGGACGCTACGTCTAATCCATCACCATCATCACTACCCCTCTCCCACTTCCCCTTCCCCCATGCCACATGAGGTTCCATAGACCAGAGGCATGGAAATTAAATAAATGTTTCATTCAATCAATCATGTCCAGTGAAGTGCACTCAAATATGGCCTCTAGTGAATACCCACTCTTATCATCTTATGCAGTCTCCAAAGAGGAAATATTAGAAAATGTGCGGATGAGCGAATCAAACTTGATTATAGCGAGTATTCACTGGATGCCATATTTGAGTCTGCTGTTCACTGTGCATGCTCGGAACGACCTAACATCATTAGGATGCCATGACCGGCAGTGTGGTTGTGTGGAGTGCACATTGCAAAAGTAATGTGGAAGCTCTCCGTCGGCATGCTCTCGGCAGACACATACTTGGATACGGCCACCGGCAAATAACCCCGACCGATACATGGGCGTACCAACGGGGGGGCAAAGCATGTGTTTTGCCCCCCCCCCCCCCCGGAAACAGCCGCCACTGTGCAGGGCAAACACTGGCCGGCGGCGCCGAAGGGATACCATGGGCACCACCCCCCGGCCCTGGGGGGTGTCTGGTTTGGCCCCCCACTCAAAAGCAAGTTGGTACGCCACTGCCCTGATAGTTTTCATGGGCTCCTTGGCTCGGTACACATTGTTCCACTGAGTCACCCCGCATCTTTGCCACGCTCGCTGAAATTCAACAACCACCGCCTACTCCTCATGGCGTCGCGCATCCCGTCTCTCGCAGAACTTCTACGGGCGGCGGCGCAACTGCTTCACTATTGCCATCCGCAGTGTGGAGAAGGCCCTGACGCACGTGGCCGAGGGGCGCCAGGTCAAGAAGACTGAGATGGGCCGGCTCTGGAAAACGAGGACCGAGGCGGCCGCCCAGGAGCTGGGCTTTAACTACGCCAACCTGCGACACAACCTGACCAAGGTAAGGGCCCTGTCGTGGCTCTGCTGGAAACAGCAGCCGTGTAGAGACTAGGGACAACTAATAGCTAAGCTAGTGACGAAAGGCAGAGTCTACGAAGGCCTGCAGGGAAATAGAACGGCTTATGTGGCACCTTGCTTGAGCCGAAAGTATGTGGGTGGCCCGGGATCAGGCAGACCCACAAAGCGAAGGAAAGAGATTTGCAAGCATGTCGGGGTTGGAACAATAGGTACTAACATATTTTCATGCGTTTCCAATCGGTGCAAAGGGGTAATGGGACCTGAGACTCGCTGCATGGGCTGCTGACGCTGCTGGTTGGTTGGGGCTATCTGCAAACGGTAACACACACGAATGAGCGTTCTGTGACGCCATAGACTTTCCAGTGGAATCAAAACCACATACTGTTTAGAACTTTGAGACTACCATAAAATACCGGAGAAACGCCTACCCCACTTTCACTGAAAATTTTGTTAATCTAGACATGGGCATTTGTCCAGTCAAATCGGGCGCTTAACATATAATTTTTAGAATTCCCAAGTTTGGGAAATGTTAATAGTGGGCTCTTGAACGAAGTAGGCGCTTCCGCGGTATATTACGGTATGAGTTCACTGCTCCCCACACTTCAACGCTGCTGTGCAAGCGGCAGACTTTTGTGGCAAGGTGCTGTCGTAGTGGCTATCATATCAACTGCTCATGACTTAGAGGGGGAGGGAGGTAGTTGGGGTGCTCATGCGGTTGATTGATTCTCAAGTTCGTTTGGTCAGTATCTCAACATCAAGCAACACAGTGTAGATAGAGCTGACGACGTGGCCCTCTGGACTACCGCCCCGACTAAGACATATAGCAAGATGCAACAAACCCTCCAGGACGGATTGACTATAGTTGTAGACGAGATTTCTAGACTAGGCCTTACGCTTTCCGCCTCCAAAACAGCTGCCCTTCAATACCATCCAACGGCTAGAACATCGATCAACAAAATCTACACAATTAACGGAACAGATGTAGCACGTGTCCGAACGTACTCCTACCTGGGGTTTCTTCTGGATGACCGCATCTCCTGGAAGCCTGCAGTCAAGGCAACACTGATCAGATGTCGCCGCCACCTCAATGCCGTTCGAATGATGATGGGCAGCAGGTGGGGAACGTCTCAGGTCATGATGCTACAGTTATACAGAGGCCTCATTCTTTCGAGATTATTATACGCCTTGCCGCTGATTCACTTGAGCAACGCACAGTCTGCAGCCATTGAGACCCTGCAAAGGATTGCACTTCGCTTCTGTCTGGGTTTACCGAGATACTCCCCGAACATTCCAACGCTGGTTGAAGCGAGGGTCAACCTTGTCGAGAACCACGGCAGAGAGCTGACACTTCGCCACATCGCAAGGCAAACATCCTGCCGGTCAACAGAGTCCCTCTTGAACCATATTCGAAGTTGTCCTCAATCTCGCCTTGGATCTCTCGCTAGAGACTTTGGAGGAATTGTGGGCCCCTTAGATAGAATCTACCCGGCACCACCACCTTACGCCTCGCCGCTGAACATCAGTGAATCTATTCCGGAACTCAGAAGCAAACGCTTCACAGCCCAAGTTGTCGCTCGGACCCTCGCAGAATACCGAATTGAGGTGGATTTTCTAGGATGGATGCATGTATATACCGACGGCTCGGTACTTCATAGCCGCAAATCATCCACTGCAGCAGTTTTTATACCGGAACTAAAAATGGCCAAATCAAGGAAACTGAGCTTTCACACTACATCTACCACTGCCGAACTTGCCGCGCTTTGGCTAGGCCTTGACATCCTCGACAGTATCCCTCACAGTGGAAAGGCAGTGTTCCTCACAGATTCCAGAATAGCTTTACAACTTCTCGGTAGCCTTGAAGACGCCCCACAATATGCCAGATACATTGGACACATGACAAGAAACCTAGAGTCTAAAGGATGGCATATAGCATACCAATGGCTGCCATCACACGTCGGTATCTCGGGCAATGAGACAGCCGATCGTCTCGCTAATGCAGCTCACCACATTCATGTACCAACACTTGTTATACCAAAAATGTATGAGGCCAGACTTATTATTCACAAAGAAATAGAGAAACTTCATCCGGACACGCGCGTCTCTACCGGGAAGCCACCCACACGCGTGCCTCCAAAGCTGTCCCGAGCCTCCGCTTCTCTACTGCACAGACTTCGCACTGGTTGTGCCTTTACTGCGAAAGCCCTTCACCGTATGGACCCAACAATAAACCCAAACTGTCCATCCTGTGATGTTCCCGAGGACCAGGACCATCTCCTCTGGACCTGCCCTACTCTAGCGGACAAAAGAAAATCGCTTCTCGACGGCCTGCGGCAAGCAGGCGTAGCAAGTGCTACAACACAGGACATTCTTTTTCCCACAGGTTCTGCACGCGATGTCTCGAGAACATTCGCCGCACTTCTCAAGTTCTTGGAGGACACCAGTTTATTTGACCGCCTCTAACCCCGGTGTCTGACATACACTGGGCGATGGCAACACTTCAACAACCGAGCCACAAAAACTGCTGACCAATTGTTCTTTTTTTTTTTTTTTTTTTTCCTTTTTCTTTTTGATCTTTTTTCATTCCATTTTTCCTCTCTTCTCTTTTCAATCTGTTCTTTTTCTTTACCTCTCTTCTTTCTTTAACTTTTTCTCATCTCCCCTTTCATCCCCCTCCCTTCCCCGGAACTAACTCGCCCCCACTAAAGAAGTGGCCAACATGTTCCGGCTTTCCGCTACCCTCACCACTAACTACTACTACTACTAATGTAGATAGACCACTCACTTTGTTACACTCATTTGCTGCATTGTTGCAAAACACGTTTAAAATATTTGAGTTCCCTGTGACCTTTTCTTTGACAGTCCTGCTACAAAAAGTTTCCCCGGTGAAGATTGTGTTGTCGACGCCAATAGCTGAATTTTGACGCACTTGACTGCACATCATCTTTTAACCCTTTGACGGTCGTCACCCTACATGTACGGTGGCGAATAGACATTTGAAGGTGTCGGCGTAAACATGAACTGGTGCGTTCCGCAGGAGATGTTGCTACTCATGTGATGGGCAAACTATATAAACATTATATTTGCACGGTATTTCGCTTTGCTGCGGATATTCATAGTTTCCAAATTAGGCGCTCCACGGACATAATATGCGCAAGATGGTCACTTCGCATTTTGGTGGTTCTGGAAGTAGTGACAATTAGAACGCTGGCTCTTCCAATTCAGACTTTTCATCCTGTTCAGAATCTGAAACCGAAGGAATGTCGCGGAAGCGGTCGCGCCGAAATGAAGCCTAATGGAAAAAAGGTGACCACTTTTCGCCTTCAACATTTTCATTTGATGCTTCTAAACCTGACACAAGCACTGTATATGCTCCCACTAAATAACTAAGAAAAAATGTGTGTGTCAACCCTTTCTTTATACAATTACTTCGAAAACAAAACACCGTCCCTGAGAAAATCTTTTGGGAAAAGAACAACACCATCAAAGGGTAAGATCTCCTTAAACAGCAAACACGAAGAATGTGACTCCGACGAGATGGGTTGGCAATTCTCAACATGCTCATTGAATCTGCTATTATAGTAGCCAAAGCTCGCTTGGCAGTTGATTAGCCACTTAAACAGCTTGACAATGTTCCCACACCCCGGTTCGGAGGTTGGGTATGTTCCATCATGTGACCAAGTGGATAAAATGATAGCCACTATAGCCCGTTACGACTCAAAAAGGTAGGGTGAGGGAAAGGAAGGCTGGGGAGGAGGAAGCAGACGGAATGCTGGAGAAGAGAGGGGAAACCTCCTCCTCTCTTTAGCGTTCCATCTGCTTCCTCCTCCATGGCCTTCCCTTCCCTCGCCCTACCTTCTTGAGCTGTAATTTACTATAGAATAGCATCCCTCTGCCAAAGTCAGGCACTCACGCAGTGCCGTTAAGGTTAGGGAGCAGTGAGCATGCCTGTCAGTGTGGAGACATCCTTTGTTGCCTGTGGTGCCATCATGGTTGAGTTGTCTACACCCTACATCAGCGCATCTGTTTGGAGGAACTCTAGTAGAAATGACAACTGAACGGATGTCCATGGGGATGTTTAAAAAGAACATTGTGATCCCTTCATGTAACATTTTTCTCTTCAATGGATGACGGACTTTGAGGCCAACCTCAAAGGAATGGCAGTATCTGAAGTAAATAAAAAGGAATGCTTGCAAATCTTCGAACGCTCATAGCATTAGCCCCAGTCCACTATTGAAAAAAAGTATGAGGATCACCACAATATAAAAATCTTTTTGTTCAATAATCCAGTACAAAATGACCAGACAGACGTAAGTATTGGTGGTGCAAAAATATCAATGGAATGAGAAAGTTCATAATGTCCTGACTTGAGTTAAACCCCAGGGTCAAATAAATTCACACGAACCACACGGTGAGATGCGCTCGAAAAGAGATCCGCTGGAAGCTTCGGACGGCTTGGCTTCTTCTTGTCCCTGAAGCAAACAAGTCTGAGACGTGCTCGAAAAGAGATCCCTTGGAAGCTTCGGACGGCTTGGCTTTTTCTTGCCCCTGAAGCAAACAAGTCTGAAACGCGCTCGAAAAGAGATTTCTTGGAAGCTTTGGAGGGCTTGGCTTCTTCTTGTCCCTGAAGCAAACAAGTCTGTCGATAAAACATTGGCTGCCACATCGAGGTTTCCACGGGTACCCTTTTCTCGGGGGTTTCAAATGCTCGGTTCTCATTACTGTTTTCTGAACCACCTCGTTCCCCCTGTGCAGTGCTCCATTGCGCTGGACCGGCGGATATTGTCCGACCTGGCATACTCTGAGCCACGCACCTTCAAGGTGAGTTCCAGTCGGTAGCGGGTGTTCAGCCGCCAGCAGCGAGAATGTTTATGTGCATGCCATCCATGTCCTGCGATTCTTAATCTTTGCGATTTGTGCGGGTGCTCTACCATTTTCGGTAGTCTGTTTGCACCGTAGGGCCCGGCCTTCACGGCAAACAGTGAGAAAGCATGGCATAGGGAATGCAGTTTGTGCGACACTTTTAACAGTATTGCATGAGAGTAAAAGCTGGTTCACACACTTGCGACTGCTTACAACTGCGTGTCGTAAAACCTCCCTCTTCGAGTGAACTCACTGGAGTTAACTATGGTGCATCATTCTTTCTTTTTGGGCTTGAAAAACTTTTGACGATGCCATAAACCACATTTCCTAATAGAGTAGATAGTATGCATACATTTGATCTCGTAAATAGTACCGCAAAATCTCCGCTCTAGTAAACGCAGTTGAAAGGTCACGTCGTAGATGGCACCAGCGTGCCAGTCTGTTCTCTCTTCGTAGATGTCACAAGAGCTTAATCCTAAGCAAATGCAAGTGTGTAAATGGGCCTTTAGAGACGAGGTTGTGAGCAAAATTATATGGCGATCATTTCTAAGAAAAGTTCTGCAAGCGCCTCAGACTCCTGTGGGGTAGCCTCAGTTTTTGGTACTTTCTCTGAATGTATTTCAGACGTGGTCACGCCAATAGTGGCTTCAATGAACCGTAATATGTGTTGCAAGTGAGCCAGGTAGTGTCTGCGCGAGACACGTATAGCCGCGGGACGTTGCGTAAAAAGTGTGTCTCTCTTTGGCCGCTGTGCCGTCGAGGGTGACTAACATTTTCATCTGTGAAAGGAATGCCTTAGCTCCTAGACCTTGACCTACTTTTAGCGTTGGTTCCGCCATTACTGAACGCATGGCACCGATCTAGGCCCGTTTTGCCTGACCTCGCCTTGTTCTTGCCGTTTTGTGGGCTGGCAGCGAACACATCAACATGTTTTAGGCTTGCCTTCCAGAAATCAAATTTCGCGAGTTTCGTCATTAAAACTGATGTGCGGCATTACTCTGTGTAGACTCCACGGTCTCGACGCATTCGAGGAACCGGGTGACACGTTTCACACTCAACCGCGAGTGTGAAAGAGGGAAGTTTTTACACTACCGTATTTGCACGAATATAACGCGGCCACGAATATAACGCGAGGGCAGGTTTTGATGCCCTCAAAAAGAAAAAAAAAATATATTATTACTATTATAATGCGAACCGAGGCCGCGTCAATGGAATGTAAAAAGTCAATGGAAATAGAAGAAATATCAGTTCATGTTTTGACTGCACTCATCCTCACTGCTCAGGTCCTTCCGTTTACAATCCACTTGGCGACTAGCAGATAAGCGGGAGGCACTCACTTGATCGAATGACGTTTTAGCGAACGCCCACGTTTCACCGAATGACACTTTACCGAATAGTCGGACGCCGCGAAGCAGCGTTTTCGGGTGGGCCAACTGGGTTCACATTTTTGTAATGAGCCGCCGCAGACTGTCCCCGCGAAGCGGCGTAAAGCGCAACACAGCGGATGGGTTAACGCGCGCCCCCGTTATTCGCTAAAACGTCAATTCGCTCAAACGTCGCTGTTCGCCAAAACGTCATTTGCTCATTTGATATGGACCGCAGATAAGCAGCAGCGCGGCACCTGCTTGTCTGGTAGTTCCCTTTTCTTCCGTGCGAGCTCCTCGACAGCCCACAATCCAAACAAGGCACGAAGCAGAAGCACCAACACACAAACACCAGATCATTCTGGAGCAGAAACTAAACAATGCGCAGGCAGAAAAAAGACGGGAGGCACTCACTTGATCGAATGACGTTTTAGCGAACACCCACGTTTCACCGAATGACACTTTAGCGAATAGTCAGACGCCGCGAAGCGGCGTTTTCGGGTGGGCCAAATGGGTTCACATTTTTGTAATGAGCCGCCGCAGACTGTCGCCGCGAAGCGGCGTAAAGCGCAGCTCGGCGGATGGGTTAACGCGCGCCCCCGTTATTCGCTAAAACGTCAATTCGCTCAAATGTCGCAGTTCGCTAAAACGTCATTCGCTGATGTGATATGGACCTTGCAAATGCGGTTCGTTATCTTGGCTTGGCTTGTGTTAGCTTGACTTGGCCCGGCTTGGCTCGAATTGGCCAAAACCCGCATGGCGCGCGCGCGCGCGCTGAGTTTCTGCGGCGTGCGCGCGTTGTACAAACACAAAAGCGATAAAAATAATGCTTTTTTTTATGTTTTCTATTCGCCCCTTCACGTGGCCCAATAGCTAATAAACTCCCTTCCACACCCCCACTTCTTTTCACACCGGATATTTTGGATTGAGCCGGAGGAATGGCTTTCTCCTCTGGCTTTCTCCTGACTCGCGCGCCTCTTGGCTGAACTCGATTCCGAATATAACGCGAGGTGCGTTTTGGAGCACGTAATTTTGAAAGAAAAACTCGCGTTATATTCGTGCAAATACGGTATTTCTTGAAACGCCCTCAGACTTAACGGGCTACCGTATGGCACTGCATTCCAGAAGAAGGTGCCAACTGTGCCAAAAACCGGCGTTCACGAACACTTCCGGGCAAGTGCCCGAGTTACGTCTGGCATGAGGGCTTCTTTTGGCGCACGAGCATGGTCTTAATGGCCGACAAGCATGTCTTAAAAGCCGACTTGCAACCTCGGTTTTCGGCAGGGAAGGTAATCTTCTTGGCACTCTCCTCTCTGAAACTGCAAGGAGTGCCATAATGGTGCAAGTTGGGAGATTGAGAAGGTATAGGAAAGGAGGGTGTGAAGTGGAAAGTGCGAAGTATATGTTGCTCGTTTAAATGCGAGTTCCTTCTCGATGCAGAGCCTTGTGAACATTGCTCGTGCCAAGCGCCACCTGGAACCGCCGAACGAGAAGGCCGCTTTGGAAGCACCGCCGGAAGGCGTCTTCACCAGGGGCATGTTGTAGCCATGTGGTGCCAGTCAGGGTGAGGCCCTTTTTTTTTTTTTTTTTTTTTTGCCACTAGTTTATTTTTCAAGGTACTTCACACATTGGTCGCACAGGTGCTGGTATTGTTATATGCACTCTGCTTAAATCGATTTGTCGAGCTACTTTACTAGTATAGTACTGAGCTCAGTGGCAAGTCCACCTTCTCCCTCCAATATACAGGGTGTTTCCAGAAACACACTGAGCTCAATGGCAGGTCCACCTTCCCCCTCTGATATACAGGGCGTTTCCGGAAACACAGCCAAAATCGTTCCTGCGAAAACTATGCATCGCATGGAAAAAAGGTTGATGCTGTAGTGATCTGTGTCAAAGGGGCACTGACACCCCAAAGGTTGTATTTTTTTTTATTGTCTAAAACTATGCAAATTGTAGTCATGGACATGCAAAAAAGTACCGCATTACAAAAAAAAAATTTTTTCGCACGCGTGTCTTTTTATTTTTGCTGCCCTTCTCTCTCGCTTTTCACCTCCTCGCTTCTTTTGATTTGCGACGTCAAAAATCATGAAATTTAGAAGCTTTGTAGGCGACATTTCTGCAACATTTAATAACGGCAATCGTAAAACATAGTATTTTTTAACGCAATTGCGAACGCAGGACGGCCTTCTTTTTGAAATACCAAAAATCGCAGTCCGGTGTGATGTCGCCTCCTGGATTTCTATCCTCCCTCGGAAAACATGGCGGCGCTCGACGCACATAGCAAAGGATGATCGGTAGGTTGGGGAATCGGACGAACGGGTCTTTTTTAGTTTCCCGACGACCTCTCAGACTTGGAAAAGGAAATCGTCAGATGGTCAAAACAGCTGGGTTTGGAATCTGTGTATAATAGTTTCGGTTGTTACTCCGCCGGGGCAGCCTTTCAGACGTCAAGCGTTGTCTGCTCGCCGTGATAGGCAGGCGGCATGGTACACACGGAGGAAGCCAAACCGGTTTTTCTCGGTAAGCCGGCACCTTTCTCTTCGCCTCCTCACCTCCTCGCTTTGGGTCGCAGTGGCAATGACTGGTTTGGAGCGGAGCGGGGGCGTGAAAGAAAGTCGACTCGCAGGACTCTGCAATATTTGACGTCGCCGCACTGGTGCGGATCGCACGGGAACTTCAAATTCGGCATTTGGAAATTTTTTATTTTTTTTTCACAAATACTGAATTCCCAAGCTTCGAATTTTGAGGGTAATGTCTGGGCATAGTTTTCAATCGTTTCGAATAATAAAAAAAAAAAAAAAAAAAAGATTTTGATGTGTCAGTGCCCCTTTAAAGGTACACTGACAGGGTATTTATGCTTGCCGAGGTTTTTACTTGTACATGATACATGACATATGAGAGGCCACCAACCCAGAACAGAATTTTCAGCTTGAAATTCGGTTTCTTTCCTCCCAAAAACCGCCGATCGAGAACTGGCCAGTTTGAGTCGCGCTCACTCTTCTCCGTGGTCACGGGCCGTTTTCTAAGGTTTAGACGTAACCACCAAATATAATCAAAGTTGTAGGTCATTGAAAGTATGCACACAATACTAAAAATAGAAAAGAACTATGATACCTATTTTTGGGGGCTTCTAAAAAGCTGCAAATGCGTTGTTTGGGGGAAAAAAGTATCACAGCCACGTGACTTCCGCCACCTTTCTCCTCCTCTACATTTCTTCTTCCTCCCCAGTCCAGTTTCAGTTTCAGGCAGTTGCGTTTTTTTACTTTATTAAAAATATACATGATGCTGTAGCAAAATATCGATTAGGTAGCTTTCTGACACCATAATAAATCGCCTGGCAAAAAATAAAAAAAATAAAAAAATTTGGGGGGTGTCAGTGTTTCTTAAGGAAAATTATTAGTTTTCAATATAATTGAGTAATTCATTAATTTTGACTGATTAGATTGTTAATGATTAATTTTAAAGGGATGGTTTCAATTAGAATCTTGCTAGGCATCATTGAAAACTGCTAAATACTCCCATGTTACAGTTATACAAAGCACGCACAGTATTTCATGGCATTCCGAAAAAATGCTTCATTGGGACGCATTTCTGGGTTTTGGTTTATTATCGAAGTGCATCTCCGCATGGGCAGTCCTGCCCCCCGTATCTAAAACGTGCAATGTGCGTGTGCCACCACGCATCTCATGTAAAGGTGCATATTCACACTGGCACCGACATCAAAAAGGCAAACCTCATGTGACAGTCCAGAGGTTTTCTTATTTTGCCTCTTTTATGTGCTGTGCGTGGTGGTGCAAGCACGCATGTTTTAGTCATTGGAGGGGGGGGGGGGGGGGTGCAAGATCGCCTGTTGTGATAAGAACTTGAAATCCAGAAATTCATCCAAATTGGGCATTTTTTTCGGAACGCCATAAAATGCCGCGTGCGCCTTACATCTTTGTAACGTGGTTGTACTTGGTAGTTTTCGATGATGCCCAGCGAGATCCTAATTTAAACCATGCATTTCGAATCAATAATTAATAATTTACTCGTAATTAATTAATTACCCAATTATATTGAACACTAATCATTTTCCTTAAAGGGGCCCTGCAAGGACTTTCTTTACTGGTTTATAATTAGCACCGAACCTGAGTGCACTGAACGTAGTCACTTCATGAAACTTTACCTTTCTCGAATTTCGCTTTATTTTAAAAGTGATAGGCAAATTAAAATTAGAAAAACAAGCAAAAAATAACCTCCTTATGATGTCCCTGGTTGCTTGAGTGGCCGTGAACTAGAGGAGGGTTAGTAAGCTCAGCGAGCGCTCACGGCGGCTGCACTTTGTGTCGACTGCTGGAGGGTGCGCCACTAAAGCATGTTCTGGATAGGCCGTATGAAGCGGGCAGCCAGGGCGGCTCGCATTGTATTTGCTGCACGATTAAACACTAATTCGGCATGGCACTTTATTGGCCGCAAACGACAGCAAACACGGGGTAAAGATCGGTTTAGAACTGGAGCCACTTCTTGTTGCCATACCGCCAAACGGCCGAATCTGTGTTGAAGGCCATCGGAACGACCGCAGCGTCGCCGTGTACATCCGGGACCTTTCTGCGCTTGCTGCTTGTCGGTGCCTGATCCCACTACCCCTTTCTAGTATGCGCCACCTTTTTTACCGCTTGGTGGCGGGTAGGTCGACAAGTCATTTCTGGTTTCCGGACTTTGTAAACTGCATTTGTTTCTTTTCTGATCTAAAATACTGAACAAAAACCACCTTCATAAATATTTAAAACGGTTCGCACCACTTATATTTTATATTTCGACTAAAAAAAAAGCTTTTAGCGGATCTGACCGGTAGTAAGTCCAGGACCAAAGACCTCACGTATCGCGCGCTTTCGGCACCGCAGGTCGCCCCGGAGGTGGGAGAGGTTTCTGCGTCGTCTGGTTAAAATATGGCGCACTGATGTTTAGTTACTCTCTCCATGCCCGCTGGCTTGCCCGAACCTCAAGAGACGTGGAAACCACAAAAAAGGTAGACGCTTAAATATGATTGCAGGGCCCCTTTAATGGGCCCTTTGACACAGACCACTACGGCATAAATTTTTTTTTCTGTGCGATGCATAGTTATTGCAGGAACGATTTTGCCCGCATTTCCGGAACTGCCCTGTAATGCCACAGTATGAAGGCACTTAATTACTGGTTTTCTGATATAGCGCAGGCACTATTAGGAACAGCACTGTCAAGATCAGCGATTTCCCTACACCCCCCCTGTTTTTTTCTGAAGGCACCCCCTTGTTTGCAACAACTCCTATATTCTCCCCTTCCCTCCCTCCCCCCCCCTCCCTCCCTCCCTCCCTCCCTCCCTCCCTCCCTCCCCCCCCCCCCCCCCCTTTTAATTTCAATTCCTGGGGAAACTCCTGGTCAAGATCGTGATCATATCCGCATATGCACGTTGGAACAAGGAAGTTTGCTGCTGCGTGCTGGCCTCTGCTTCTACAGTATGAATGAGTGCAGATCTGACATTTGTGCATATCCTGTTGCAGCACGTGTGGGAACTTGTAATTATGAAAGAAGACCCCTGGCTTGGGTGTCGGGTGCAGTCTGGAGGCCTGCTCTTTTGCATCTGCTTACTTTTCTAGAGCTGCTTTTTGGATAGTTTGCACTATTGATTGACAGATGGTGCATCACTGCTCATGGCAACATTGCACTTGCTGCAGGGTCTCCTCTAAGTATCAGTAGGGCCTGATGCCACTATGCCAAAGGTGTCAGGCCCAACTGATATATTTTCCTTATCTGCAATAGTTGCTTGAGATACTGCTGCTATTTGTTTATAAATACCTGCAACATCTCCAAATAAAAGTAAGAAAGAGCAGTTAAAACTAACAGGACTGCAGAGATGAAAAGAGGAAGAGAGGATGCCTTGACAGGAGGGGGAAAACTGGACTAGAATGTGTCTTAAAAGATGTATATTCTAATAGCATAGTAAAGCAGTTTTCTGTCTACATTAGACTAAAACGTTGACCTTTGAACGAAATCGAGCTGTCTATAAACTTTGTTTTTGTGCTGATTCACTGGGTGTATAACTTGCAGGCTTGGTACACAATTGTGGAGTACGGTGGTTAGCGGCCATATTAACCCGAAAAATTTAATACAACTGCTGGTGACCTCCAGGCCCGCTCTAAGCAGGTGCTTGCGTAGATGGCCAGAAAATGCATATATGCAAAAGGCCAAACTTTCTTGAAGATGGATTGAGGTACCTAGTTTCTGTGCTGGAATCCCACTTGAAATGCCTGTAGAGCAAGCAGCCTTTGCTGTTTGCCACGGCACGATCACAACTACACGGTGCAGCTTACGAAGAGACCTGTACTTGTTTCATTGCAGGCTGTTTCATACGAGACTCACCTTGACTTGGAACGGGGAGCTCACGGAGTACACTGCACCATTTTTTCTCAGCCAAGGTTCGGCATAGATAGTGGCCATCCATTAGCTATTCTTAGTTGTTGACTTCATTGTATAAATAAAGCAAATTTCAAGATCACACCAATTCTGAATTCAGTCACTTTGGGTAAGGGTAAGGCAGCTTTAACATGAAGAAAACTAAAATAAGGAAGGATGGCTATGTGCTCTTCTTTTTTTTATTTGCGTAACAAAACTCGTGACTCGTGTAATGCGACATACAGCATGCCTACCATACAATAACCTGAAGTCGGTGAAAGTTAATGTTTTTATTATGTAATCGAAAGATTTGTTTGTGCTGGACTTTCATTCTTTGCCCATCTCTTCACAGAGACCATGAAATAATGACTCATAAGTGCTCAGAATAAACTCCTGTTTATGTGACATGAAACTAGGTTTTTTCCAAGAAAAGCATTTGCTACTGCCATTGAGAAAGCTGCTACGAAAAAGAGGGTAGTCTGCTGGCACTGTAATGCAATTCAAGGTGGAACAGACAACACATCACGAAGGGTACATAGAATTTTTCAAGCACCAAAATTATAAAGGAGGGAAAGCCCTTGTAACCACTGCCAACTTGGGGCACCAGTGCTTTGCCGAAATCAGACAGAGATCACAATGATCTCAAGAGCAGTGATGTGATTGCTGCGCCAAATGCGCCAAACTGCGTCAAGGGGCTAACCCTGCTACATCCTGCTACATTTCTCCAAAATATGGGTAATTTGCGCCACGCCTGCGCCAAAGGATCAATTTAGGTCTCCTTTCAAAACCGAAACTAAACTAAGTACTGTTATTGAGCAGGCGTGTGTTATCTGGCGCAAGTGGCCACCTGGCACAATGTACTCTGCATCAATTGTCCACCCGGTCTTGCATGGTTTTCCCAGCGTCTCGCGTTTCGCGCTCTCGTCTTGTGAATCTCGTCTCTCGTCTCTTTTTTTTTTTTTTTTTCAGCGATAGACGCGGATGTGTGCAGACGCTCCGACGCTAGCGTGCCGGGTACCAGCTATGCCGTCATGCTGTGAAACAAAACCACGTTTTTGTGCGGCAGAAGTTACTTTGTGAGCTGAAGCAACGGCCATGGGAAAACTATATTTGGTCACTGCCTTTCAGTCACCGTGGTCGCGCGGCGTCGAATGTTGCCGTCCCCAGATCATTGCGGATATAGTACTTTCTAAAATGAAACCAAGTACCGCAGTATGTTCATCAACATTCCTGATCTTGTTTAAATCATACGTTACTACAAAAATCCATCTTTAATTCAAAGACTGCTCTGTCAATGTATTGATTATCTAGATTCCTCTCGGTGGGCCTTCTTTCGAGAGGGACCTCGGTACGTGAAAAATCTGCCGTGAAAGAACGTTGGTGAAAAGAAGTGAGCTAAAGCAAAGAAGGCGATGTCTGCACGCTGAACCGGCACAGCGTGCTTGTTTGTCTCGAGTTCAGTCGTTGCACAAAGTGCTCCAAGAACGTTTTGAGGCTGGCTCGCATGCAATGTCTTGCATCGATGCACTCAGGTTCCTTATTTTTTTTTGTGTGTTTAGCTTGTACCTTGTTTGCCGGCCTGGCAAGCACGCGCCACTGGACTGCTTTTGTCGAATGCTCGAAAGTTACATTTTGTGTACAATTTTGGGGATAAGTTAGCGACGGAGCTAAGGGGCATGGTTTCGGTTTCGATCGGACAGCCGTTGTCTGCGCTCGCGCGACGAAGCATGCCCAACAGCAAGCCTGCCGAAGTTGGCCTCACGAGCATGCGAACATGATTGCGTGACTGAGGCACCAGCTGGGACGCTTGCAATTCATTGTTTTACGTTTTCTTACTTTTGACGAAAATCTGGCACGTCAGGAACCAGTAAAACGATGGCAAGCGGTTTTTTCGAAGCTGCTTGGCAATGCCTACAGCACTGTACACTTGTGGGATGTCTGAGCAGTAAAAACAGAAGCAGCGAGTTCCGTCGCAACACGTCACATCAAAACACAACACAACACAAAGTGTCTTTCGTTTGTACAGTACTTAAAACGAATATTTTTATTTTCCTAAAAATATCTGCTCTGAAATCCACTTTTGCTGCTCCGAAGCACCGTCTTGGCTGCTCCAAAAACCGCTTTTGACGCTGCAAAACACTGTATTAAAGGGACCATGAAATTATTTTAAAATCGAGTTTCATCCACCGCACGTCGTAAAAGGTGTGAAAAGAAACACAAAAACACAAAAATAGGGAGCCCAAAAAAATTATTTGCTATAGAACTTTCAAAAGAAAACTGGACTCTTTTGCGCCTTCCTTCCTTCGCCTGTTCACTACGATGCATACGCAGAATCGGTGCACGTCAGCCGAATCCACATCGCCTATTGGGTAAGAGCCTACCTCACCAGCACCGCGATCGTAAACAATAAATAGCCGGCGAATGTTTCCTAAAAGTTTTGTTAAATAATATTCAGACCCACATTTTGTAGCATAATTAGAGATGTGTGGCGAAAATTGCCAAATTTGATAATGCTGAGAGCCAAGCGCCATCTATCGTGTGGTAAACGAAGCAACTACTGCGCGTGCGCAGTAGGGCAGGGCCGCCAGTTACTTGGGTGACGGCGACCGACGAACATTTATTTTCTTTGTTTTCCTTCCTCTCAAAACTCTGACTGACTGAACGTTTATTTTTCTACGTGTTCTTCCCGCGCGTGCCGACTTCAAGCAGCAAGAAAACAGTACTTAAAACAGACCACGACGAACAAGAACGCTGGATTCACCGACTCCGACGAAGCGTATAGGCCTAGCAGGCATTCCGACTCGGCGCTGCGTTGCTTCGTCGCAAGACCGTCTGCCTACGACCGGCTGGCGTGCTTAATGGAATATGCCCGCGCGACCCTTGTGGACCCTTCCCGTATTATAGTTTGATCACTGACCTCAATTCTAGATTAAGAGGTGAGGAGGTCAATCTCTTCCCCTTGTTTTCCGAGGCAGTGTTGACGAACACTCGTCGAAAAGGGACTCTCGTCGATTCTATCTTCTTGTTTTGTGTGATATAGAGCTGAAATAAACGCCGTATGGATTGCCTTCGTAACACGGTATGTACACTTTGTTATTGGTATGCCATTTTTATTCTGACAGACTGCACGTCACTGTCGACCCCGGTCCAACCTTTCTTTGCCGAGTGTCGCGTCAGTATCGAGTTGCAATCGTAAAAGAACGGTCCCGAAGCGCTTACCAACAGCGCGAATACAAGACTTCCATCAAGCGCGCGCGTCCGCTCCGAGTGTAAGCAGGTATTTACGTGGCTCTTGCTGACACTCGTAGTTCAAACGTATCTTTTTTAACGTCGGCTCGCTCCTGCATCTCCGAGGCCGCGAAAAACGCCATCTACGTCGCTTTGCAAACGACTGACACGGGCCGGCCCTTCTGCCAACAATGACGGGGTGGTGACAAGACTCGCTGCACTTCCCAACAGGCATACCGGCGTATGGGACTAGTCCCATGCTGTCGCTGTAGCGCAACATATCTCATTGAATTTCGCTCAGCTGCGATGCGGCGATGAGAGGCGCCGATTCAGGAAATACGTCGGTGACATCAGCGCAGTAAAACCTACCGGCGCACCCCAACTCGTTGCCGCTAACACTCCCATTTTCCTACTGCCGAGAGAACTTCCGGTTCCGGAAACGGTCTACGTCACGGCTTCTTTTGCGGTCAGTTGGAGAGAATGAAAAAGTCGATATTTCAATAATTTTTTGTGTAAAAGTTAATAAACCGAGACGAAAACGGATGCCTGTTCGGCATTCAGTGAACATTGACGGTTTAATGTAAAAGTTATCTGGAAAAAGTAAAAAGGTCATTTCATGGTCCCTTTAATTGCTCCAAAGGCCACATTTGCTGCTCCAAAACAATGTTTTTGTCGCTCCGAAACCTGCGCCAAAATGGCTTAGGCCAATCACATCACTGCAAGAGGCAAAGAAGGGTTATCCGTGCATCCCGCTGCCCATTTCTGTTTTATGGCGCCTTGAAGTCTCCCACTTCTGTTGCACTTTGTCCAACAGACATTTTGCCAAATTACCAAAGCCCCGAGGAGCACGCCAAGTGTAGTTACACGAGCTGCACATGTTGGCGTCTGCAGCTGTTCTAAAGCAATAATCAAACCAGTAACATTTTGCATGTGCGTTCGTCAATGCCTTATTTTGGTTATTTACTTCAAATCTATATAGATAAGGCAAGCATGTACAGCATGTGTACCTACATTCCCAGCATTATTCATAGTGCTTGGATAATTAAGCAAAAAAGGCAGCACAAGGACCAAGTTATCCAAGACACGGCACAGCTAGAGCACTATATAGCTCCTACGGAGCAGAGTAACGCAATCCTTTGAACCCCGTGTTTTGCCGACAACATGGCCGACAGAGCGGCCGGAGCGGCTCGGCGCGAGTCACGTGGTACTCAGGGTTCCAAGAGGCGGCCCGCCCTATGGGAGAATACATGGAGATCGACACAACACGGCTGATTAAAAAATGAACGGCGAGTTCACACTTTTCAAAACTAGTCTGTCGTGAAGTTAGTAAAGCACTAAACACTTTATCAAAGTTTTAACAATATCGGATGAGTATGCAAATTTTGAGAAGGCAATTTCCAAGGCAATGGCGTTTGAAGCAGACGATTTTTGCTCGCAGCGGAGATGGGCTTTTCGGGTTGGCCGGAGCGGGTCACGTGAATGTTGTGACGTCGCCGTGTCGTCTGCTGCATGATGCCGCTCAGGCAATTTTAAAAAAAAAGTCAGGTCCTTGCGGGGCACAAAACATAGCGCAAATTATTCTAAAATGTTCCATTATTATGTCAAAAATGATTGCGATTCCGTACATTCCCACAATACTGAAGAAACAACGATTTTCTCACGTTCTCCATGCATTTCTGACCGCAGTTGGAACCTCCGGGCGTTCGCCGCTAGTCGCCGAGAGGCGGCGTTCTAGATTGCGCTACTCCAGAGCCGTATATTGGGAGAGTTGGGCCATTGGGAGGCGCAAGGGCCGCCGCCAGTGCCAATTATTCCCCAAGCGGTTATAGCTTGAACTTTATGTAAGCCATTTGCACCAATCAGCAAACCGTTACGTC